CCAACCACCTGGACCAGGAGTCCTGCCCCTAGGCTATCTAAGATAATTGTCTTGATCCCTCTAGGCTAGACCCTGCACATAGCAGGGTGCAAGACGGTACTAGGTCTTCTAGGGCTGCAGGGAAAAAATGGCAGGTCCAGTCCTGAAGAGGAATCCCCAACACATAATAGATGGAGCTTCCCAGACTTTTCATGACTCATGGTCCCTACATTACACACACCTATTTATACCCAAACAAAATGCAACCACGCCCATATGACATTGTGCCCCACACACACATGCTCAAACATCCACACACAGATGCACACACCACACCCTCCTATACAAAAGGTGGAAACCACAGCACACGCTGGTCCTCCTGCACACTTCACCTACACACACACACACACACACACACACACACCACACCAAAGAAGAGCGATGTGACACTCACCTTCCCCTCCCCACTCCTAAACACGGTTCCACATGCCACCTTCCCACTACACATTCTCACAAACACTCCTCAGCGCACAATCTCACACCCACAGGCCCACCATGCTGGAGCTAGGGAAGTTGCGATGTGCTAGGGGCAGTTTAGAGGAGCTGAGAAAGAGGGGCGTTAGAAAGGAGAGGAACACAGTGCTCCATGGTTAAGTCGCACCTTTGAGCTCCCAGACTGGGCAGACCCTGGCCAATTTCGATTGGCTGCGGAGAAAGGTACTAAATGGACACACAGAACAGGAGGGCTTTCGGTGCAGTGTGGTAGGTACTTAGCAACACCAGGTGACTGTACAGAATCCAACCCTCCAAGCCTCGGAGAGGCTAATCAGGCGGCTTTGTAGAAAAGGGGACAAATAGGAGCTCTCCCAGCAGCCAGGAGCTTTGGGAGGGAAAAGGAAACAAAAGGCGGGAGGGGGTAGGCAGCTGATTTATGCACTTCAGCAAATGTTTTCCCTGCCATTAGCCTCGGGAAGACCAGGAGCCAGAGGAAGGGTGCGCGTGGGGGGTGGGGACCTGTGGCTTAAGGAGCTCAGCCTGGGCTTGTCTGCCCGCCGGCTGCAGCGGAGTTCTCAGTCTCCAGATCCTACGATCCAGATTGGCCTGTCAACTAACTCTGCGAACAGCCAGCAGTTGGCTTCTGAGTGACGGTCTTCGCCCAAAAGACCAAGCGGGGGAGGGGGGGGCGCTCACTTGTTGCCCTAGTTCAACAAAATTGCCCAGGTCGAGGGGAAAATCCTCCAGGCTCCGTACCATTACAGGCTCCAAAAGGGCAGGAGGTGGCGCTCCAGCCCAGACTTCAGGATCCAGTTAATCCGGAGGGGAGCAGGGTTCCCTGTGTCTTAGGACACATGCTTCTCTCTGAATGATTCTCATTATGGCACTTTAAATTCCCTTTATAAGAGAGGGAAAAAGCACAGCCCGCACTTGTTTGGGTTCATTCTGCCTTCACAGCTTTAATGACTCCATTTGTGGGAGCTGTTTAGGAAGCTGGTGGAGAGGCGTTGGAGAAGGATGCCAGTAGGAAGCGCCAGCTCAGGCCTGGCAGCAGCCATTCCCCTCCCTCCCCCCTGGGGGCCATCTGCCTAGGAAGCAGTTTCTCTTTGCCCTTTCCTGCAGACCTCAGAGCTCCAATTTGTCTCCTTTCTACCCCAGGACACTACTGTGGGCAGCTAGCCCTGGGGAAAGACTCAGCACTGTTCACTTAGAATCACCATCCTTGCTGTCCTAGCACCTGGGATGGGAAGGCTACAGATCACCCTGCTTGTCCCCCAAGGTCCAAGGCAGCCCATAGCCACCCTATGTTGTGGGCCCAAATCTCATCCTAGCCCCGATGGACAGGAATGGCACCATAGTACTTTTCACCTAAAGATTCCATAGCCGGCCGAAGAAACAGGGTTCCTGGAAGTGTCCCCAACTCCACAAATGAATGTGGCCTTCTACAAGGCTGCCATTTGACCCTGTAGACTAAGGAGCTCAGCTGATGACATGTTTTGCTAAAACCACTATCTGCCATTGGTGTCATTTGTGAGCAGCTACCTAGTTTTGAGGTCTCATTCCTGACCCTTGTCTGGCTGTGTTCTGTTGAGTAGGGTTCATGCTCCCCAAACAACTCTCTTTCTCATTCCTGCTCCAAGTCCAACCTAATTCAACTGTCAAAGTGATCCAACTTTGGTGGGGCCTCAGTTCCATCCCGAATCCAGGGAAACTGTCCAGCCTGTGTGAGCATGGAGATGTGAGGGAGTTGAAGCAGGCCCTTGAGCTCTGAGTTCAAACCCTGATTCTACTGAGCTCCACCATGACCTTGGGCAACTGCTAGGTCCTACGGAATTCCCCATTGTGTAGGGGAGGGGTGGACCAGAGCAGGGAGATTACAGGAGAAATTCCTCCCCTGCAGTGGTACATCCACTTTAATGAGAAAGCCCATTAAGACACTTGATTTTTCCATTTGTTTAAGCAAGATGGGTGCTTGCTGTGGTGGGAAGGGAGAAAGCAGAGCTACACAAGCAGCAGCAGCAGCACAGACACTAAGAAAACTTCCACTTAATTGCTCCTATAAAAGACTGATCTAGCTCTAGCTCTCTGGCTCCTCTCTGCTCCTTCTCAACCATCCCAGCCAGAAGCCTGGGAAAGGCTGGATGGGTGGGGTGGGGAGGGGTGGGGTAGTGGGAGCCTCCTAGGGCCAGCCAGTGCTTTTGAAGTCACCTCTCCCAGCCAGTCACCTGCTGGCTGGCATCTTCCCAAGGGCCTGAGGTTCTAGGGATCTGGTTTTGATTCTTCTATTATCAAACTTGATGCTTAAAAAAATTCTCTGTGCCCTCAAGGGGTCGACTGCAATACTCTCAGGAGGGAAGTGGAGTTGGGTGGGGGAAAGTGCTTGTTACTTTGGAGCCATCTCTGTAATCTCTCTTGCCTCAGCAATAGACATCTCATCACAGCCAGGTGTGTGGAAAGACAGTCCCCTGTAGTTGAAGTTGGTCTAGCTAACATAAAAGAGGCCAGCATAGTAGTCCAAAATTAGTGTGAAGACAAGGTGTGTGGAAAGTCTACGTTCTGGCCTTGCTTTTCCTCATCAGTGAAATGGGTTCAGGAGGAAGACAGGAAAACCCAAAGAGCCTTCTGGCAGAAAGATGCCAGATGTGGCATTGGGAAACTGGACTGTGTGAGAGGAGGAGGCGTGTGCTCCCTCCAGAAGGTTGGTTCCTAAGGGCAGCACATTCAGGGCAAAGGAAGGCTGCAGGCGGACCCCAGCAGCTGGCCCTTCTCCAGGCTGGTGGGCAGGAGGCCCCTGCCTTGCTAAGTAATGAGCACAATTCCAACACCGCTTCTGCTGGCTCGTAAGAAATCAAAGCTGGGTATTAGAGGCCATTTCTGACTGGGCACCATCCGTGCCCAAATCCATCAAAGCCCTGGGCCTGGGGTTTCTTCCGGGGAAGCCGGGGCTGAATGCTTTGTTAAGCAGGAAAAGCAGGCCATCTCCAGCATTCCTGACCCAGCCCACCTACCCAGAGAACTCCATGCCCACCAGTCCCATTTTCCTCCAAATGGAACACCCAACCTCACTAACCTCGGTATCTTTTCCCAATCCCATTACCCTATTGATAAATATACATGCAGTCTGACCCATGTGCCATTTCAAGAGACTTCATTCTATCCTTCAATCACCCCAAAGTGCCTTAAACAGAAACTAAAATCCAATCCAGCACCTCCCACATCTAACTGCACCCTTTAAAACAAGGCTGATCATTTAGCTTGCCTCCACCCTTCCCCATCATTACCTCCAACTTCAAAACACTGCTTTAAATATCCGAGTCTGTCCAAATCATAATTAACTTGGATCAAATGATTGAGTGTTGTAACTTTACAGCACAAGGCTTGAGGAAAAATAAGAAGTGGGGGGATGTGCTGAAAGCAAGCTTTGGCCGTGGGAATCATTAATTCCAGAGGAGGGACCTTTAGCTCTTTAAGAAAGAGAGGTGGGGAGGAGGTGAGAGCGGATGTCAGCATTCCTGAGGAAGGTGGGACGGGGAGAGCAGAAAGTGCTAGTTTCCTTGCCCTATTCTAAGCTTTTGCTTAGAGAGGCCTTTGTACAGGATGCCCCTCCATGCCCCCCACTCAACTTCAGAAATCAAGGCATCCTGCCGGCAGTTCACCTTGCTTGGGTATCAGAGAAGCTAGCGCTAGTGTGTACTTTTCCTTCCCAGGAAGACGCAGCCCGCTTTGCAACGCCCAGCAGAGCTACTACAGTGCAAGATACTTCCACGTTCGCGGGAGAGGAGGATTAGGGACTTCACAAACTTAGGAGTCCACCAAACCCTCTTAGGGCATCTTGCTGCGTCCAGGTGCGGTGCAGAGGCGAGCAAACCTGGTTTATTCCCGAACAGTGAGACTGCCAATAAATAACCCACTTAAAATTGGGAAAGTCGGCAGGGGACATTATGTCCCTCCACTCTCTACCAACGCTCACCCAGAAACAATCCACCAACCACGAAACCCTACCAAACCCGCCGACGCCGCACCTCCGGAGAGTAGGATGTGCAGGACTGGGCCCCTCCCCCTTCAACAGCTAAAGCCTTCGGGCCTCCGCTCCCCAAAGGCGGAGGGGAACAAGCGCTTCCAGGGCTCCGCAGTCTCCTGCTCTCTCCCTCTGACCCGCAGAATGCTGCGCGTGCTGCCCGTGAGAGCCGGCGGGAGCCGGGATTCAGACTTAAGTTGCAGGCGAATGACACAGAACACCCATTCGGCTCAGGTAGCGACAGTTTTTCGGTGGCAATCGGGGGTCACTTGGAAGTGAATCAGACCCCATTCCATGGGCAAGCAACTATCCCTTACAGACAGGAGCAGGGAGCTTCGGGCTTACGTGGCACCCCAGGTAGCAACGCGTCGCCCCCTCTCCCGAGCACCAAAGCTGCCTTTTAACTTGGGCGCGCCCACCGCGTTCCCGGAGCGAAGCGACTCCCCAAGAACCACCCAAACTTGCAATTGGACGCTGGAACCCGCCAGGTCCGCATCCTCGCTCTTACCTGCTAGGCTCAGTGTCGGGTCCCAGCAGAAAAGCAGCGCCAGTAGCAGCGGGCCCCGCGTCCCGCTCCGGGCCCTCATGCTCCTGTTGCCCGGCCCGGGCGCCTCTCCCTCGGGGCTCTTTCCCGGGCCCCAGCCTCGCCGCCTTCGCCGCCGCCTCGCCGTCCTCGCAGGCCCCCGGCAGCGCCAGCCCGTGCCCTCCGTGAGCGCAGCGGCAGCCACGCTGCGCCGGGAAGCCGCCCGGCTGTTCGGAGCGCTCCGGGAATCGGACGCCGCTGGGGATCCCGGCGCCGGTGCGCCCTTTCCGCGATCCCCCGCTGCGAGTGCCGTCCGCTCCCTGCTCCGAAGTTGCGCGCTCCCAGCAGAGTGAGCTCAGCGGCGCTCGCAGCGGCCGCGTCGCAAAGTCTGTCCGAGTCGGGTGCGCGTTCCTCTCCGCGCCCGGGCACTCCCCGCGGCTCGGCTCCTTGGCCCTCCCAGCCGCCCGCCACAATGCCCAGCGCCGCCGCGCGCTCGCCCTAGAGTCAGCGGGCCGGGGCGGGGCCTCACGCGCTTTGGGGCGGGGCATAGAGGGCGGGGCGTGGCCATGGGGCCCTACGAGGGGGTACCCCTCTGCTGTGAAGGCGTGGCCGAGTTGGGGCCCATTAGAGGGGACCCTCGAAGAACGTAGGTTCCAGAGCACCGAGAAACCAGTACACTAAGAAGCAGAGTCCACCGAATCTTCTTGCCAACAATAAAGAAAATAAACTTTCATACCCTTCTTAGCTTGGGTATAAGTCAGCTTTCGCTTTTGATTCTATCTCAAAAAGGGGTAGAGGGTTCTAAGAAAAATCTCAAACACCCTAATCCTGGTGGAACCGGGGATGTAGGTGGGGAGTTAAGGTTGTGGGCATGAGTTAGGATCATGATTGGTTCTATTTGTCTGCATGACCTCGGACAGAACTGTTTACATGGGATCCGGAAAGATGGCTCACCCGGGGATGCGGTGAACCAGCCAAGTGATAAAGGGAGTGTGTGGGTAGGGACTTGCTGCTGCCTTTGGCTCAGTGTAAACTTGGCTCTGCTCCTTATGCTTGTGACCTTGAAGGAGCTGCTTAGTTGGTTCCATCGCTGTCATCTGTGAAATGGAGAATAACATTAACTGTCTCATAACGGAAGGAGGAACAGAATGTAAGAAATAAAAGTGGGGGTATAAATGGTGACCTCTGTTTCCAAAATTATTTTTTGATTTGTTTTGTTTGTTTTTTGTTTTGTTTTTCCAGACAGGAAAACCTTTGGAGGCTGTCCTGGAACTAGCTCTTTGTAGACCAGACTGGTCTTGAACTCACAGAGATCAGCCTGCCTGTGCCTCCCTCTACTGGGATTAAAAGCTCATAGCACCACCGCTAGGCTCTTCCCAAAATGTTTGTGTGAAGTCTTGATCACCCAAAGGTAGCCAGATGAGGCTTGGAGCATGTCTGTACATCAGCTGACATGAACAGCTTTTCAGTTTGGCAGTCCATGAATGCGTATCATTTCAGTTAATCCCACGACTCTCTAGAGTAAGTACCATAGGTACTCATTTTATAGAGGAGAGAACTGAGACATAGAGATGTAAAGAGATTTGTCCAAAATGACACAGCTTTGAGTGAGAAGTGAAAGGAATAGGGGAGATGAGATTGAAAAAGGCTCATAGCTGAGCGTGGTGGATAGCACGTTTAATCCCAGCCTGCAGAAGCAGGAGGATCTCTGTGAGTTTCCAGGTCAGGGCTGCATAGTGAGACTTTGTCTCAAAGAAAGAGGATGGGAGGGAGAGAGGATCAGCTGACCACCCAAGCTTTTCCTTTTTGCAGGTCTGGAACAGTCCTCAAATATGGAGGCAGTGTACTCCTTCATACAGACAGCAGCCTGGGCAGGGGGGTAGGAGGTGTGTGGGGTGGTTGTGGTAAGGACATCCAAAGAGCCAAGTATTCCCAAGTTTTTCCTAGATTGGAGAAAAAGGAGTTTGGGAGGCATAGTTGTTGGCTAGAAGGTTAACAGTGTAAGAGCAGAGAAGCAAAAAGACCCATCCAAGCTGTGCCCCCCCCCCCGGGGGGGAATGAAAGCAGGACTTCTGGACACCCCTTCTCTCCCACCTCCACATACTGAAAACCAGAGCTCCATAGGGCACAGTGGATGTAAGCAACAGCCTACATCATGGCTGGCCACCCAGAGTTAGGAGGTGGAGTGAACTCCCAAGGCAGGACTTTGCTTTCTGCGGGCAAAGGTAAACGGGTTATTTTTAGCCTGGCCTGAAACAGCATGAGCAATGGTAGTGGCTGATCACACCCAGCCATCTCCACCCATTCCAGACCACAAACACACAGCCCTACACACCCCTGGACTGTTAGACATCCCTGCTAAAGAATACACAAGTCAATATACAACACAGACACACAGGTGCAAGATGACTTCTCCTGACACACCCTGTGTGTAAACAGACATCCACCTAGAAAAACACCCACAGACCAAAGCCCACGAGACTTAAAAACCCGATCACACCTCCAGGCACACACATAGACATCTAATTGGAAAGACAAACTGGTATTTGAGTATTTAAAAACTGCCAGGAAACACCATGGGGGCAAGGGTACCAAGACTCGCATCTCATGCTCAGAACCTAGACAACAGGGCACTGTACCTGAGAGCTCAGTAGACACTGTAGGTCATTCTGCCTCCAAGGGATATTAGAGACTTTAAAAGTTTCTAATTCGTCCTGGGCAGAGAGGGGGTAAGGGATAATAAGCATTTTCTTCCCTTCTTCCCAGCCCTGTTCTATCCTTCAGTCTGAATCTCTCTCTACTTTAAAAAAGCAAAATCACTTTATTCTAATTCACAAATAAAAGCATCACATAGCTGGTGTAACCCTTGTCCAGCTGGTTCCATACTCTTTCCTCTCAGTGAACTTCTCTGTACTTAGAATGGCCATTCTGAGGCCATGGATCTTCTTTAGGGTTCTGCATGTGCACTGTCAACTACATTTTTTATTCACTTATCCACCCACCACAGAAAGAAAGGAAGGGAGGGAGGAAAGGAGGGAGAGAAACACAGAGAGAAACATGAGAGAGAGAGAGAGAGAGAAAGGAGAAAAAACCATGCAGAGTTAAAACCAGATAAACATTACATATATAATCTCTTTCATGACTCCCATGCACTTTTGGCTGCCTTTCCTCATCATCCAGTTTCTCCAATCTTAACATCTGCTCACAAAGGTTTGTCTCTCTGGTATTAGGGTCAGCCCTTTCAGGGAATCTCCCATAACTCCCCTGGGCCCTTCCTGTGTTAAACCTCAGGTAGGTGCCTTTCCCAGTCACCTTGAGTTAGGGGACCCTAACACCCTGCATCTATCTTAGGCAACCTCATCTTTGACCCTCAACTGGGAATGGCCACTTCCCTCCCATGTGCAAGGTAACACAGTTGTACAAAACTTTCCAGAAGTATCCCCAAACCCTGTGCCATGACACTTAGTCTGTGTGTGTGTGGGGGGGGGGGGGTTGCTGCTTCTAGTTGAGCAAGAACAAGGGCACTGGATTGCCAAAGTTGGCTTCTTTTGGTGGGGGAGAGGTTTAGAGACAGTGTTTATCTGTATAGTTTTAGAGCCTGTCCTGGAACTTGCTTTGTAGATCAGGCTGGCCTCGAACTCACAGAGATCCTCCTGCCTCTGTCTCCAGAGTGCTGGGATTAAAGGCATTCGACACCACTACCTCACAGCCTCTGTTTTCATTTATCATGACATCATCAATAATGTTTCCTGCACACAGTAAGATGCACTCTGCCAAGAGAGAGAGGTTATTGATCCAGGCCCACAATGGCTATGAGAAAGAGCCCCAAGGCTCTACCTCCATGTCTTGGAGGCCTGGGCAAGGGGCCTAGGGTCTGAGGCTGGGGGCAGGGCAGCCTTTGGGAGGGCACAACTGCTTTGAAAGACTGGGCCACTATTGAACCTTCCTGGAGGCTGCAGACGCTTCCAGGACCCCTCTCCTATCTTCCAAACAGAATAGCATGCAGCACTGGGAGGTGGGGTCAAGCTGATGGATATAGCTCAGACCACCCACTGTTCTTCTCACCTGCTGGGAGATGTCAGGGCCACTTAGTTGCCCTTTCTGGGCATCAGTGCCCTCCGTTGTAAAAGGGAAATAATCACCACTTCGCAGGACTAAAAGGAATGTACATACATCCTGTAATCTAGCTGAATAACAGCTACCTATTTCATTACAATTATGATTTGAAAGCCGCCTTCGGGGCTCCCTGCTAGAGTGGCTGGCAGCTTGTGCTTGGAGTTTCTAGCCCTGGGTATGCTTGCAAGTGCCACCAGGCGGCGCACTGCAGCCTCAGCCTCCTCAGCACCGCGGCAGGCTCTCGAAGAAAGGCAGAGCTTTGGAACTGTCTCCTGTCCACCCTTCTGGGACCCTCCCAGGAGGGATTTCTGTTCCCTGGGGGATGGGAGTTGGAGGTAGGCTTTCACAAGTATGGGTATGTGTGTTTTTGAGTGGAAAGATTTGAAAGTTAAGTTCAGACAGCCTCTCTTGATTAGTCTGGGACAGATGGTCCCCTAGACATTTGTAAGCCGCAGAAGGGAGGCATCTGTGATTAAGAAATCCTTCAGTTTGTAATATTAGCATAGCCAGTGCTGGTCCTGGCCTAAGTCTTTCACACCTTAACCACACACGTGATAGGTGCTGTTGGGGCCCCATTCACAGATAAAGGCAATAAGACCCAGATAGTAAGTTGACTAAGATCAAGGTGAGGGCTGTGGAAAGTCTCACCCAGTGGATCTCAAGCAGGAACTCCCCGTTTTAAAAACTGAGGTAAGGCCAGGCAGTGGTAGGACACAACTTTAATCCCAGCACTCTGAGGAGTTCAAGGGCAGCCTGGTTTACAGAGCAAGTTCCAGGACAACCGAGGCTACACGAGGCTACACAGAGAAACCCTGTCTTGAAGAAAGAAAACAACAACAAAACTGAGATGAGGGTGCCAAAGAGATTGTTAAGCCAGTAAAGTGCTTGCTACCAAACCAGGAAGGCCTGAGATCAGACCCAGAAGGCCCAGTAAAAAGCAGGGTGCAGTGGTTCCTGTAATCCCTGTGCTGAGAAGAAGGGCACTGGAGGGTTTCTGGACTCACTGTCCAGACAATCTACATAATAGATGATCTCCAGGTTCAAGGAGAGGTCCTTCTCTCAAAACATAAGGTGGGGAGTCATTAAGGAAGACACTAACTGTTGACCTCTGGCCACTACATGCATGCACACACATGTGTCCACACAGGAACACATATCCCACACCACACACACACACACACACACACACACATAAAAACACACATGGCTACTGAAATGACTCATCGGATAAATTCACTTACAGCTATACCGGATGACCTGAATTCAC